TCCCAGTGTCCCCAGTGTCCCCCACTCGTGTCCCAGTGTCCCCGTGCTCCCCCCCCGTGTCCCACCGTGTCCCCCCCGTGTCCCCAGATGAAGAACGCCGATTATTTCTCCAATTACGTCACCGAGGACTTCACCACCTACATCAACCGCAAGCGCAAGAGCACCTGCCACGGCAACCACATCGAGATGCAGGCCATGGCCGAGATGTACAACCGGCCCGTGGAGGTCTACCAGTATGGCACTGGTGCGTGGGGGCGCTGGGGAGGGGTCCCTGGGCACTGGGAGCACTGGGGAGGGGTCCCCTGGGCACTGGGATTAATGGGGAGGGGTCACCTGGGCACTGGGAGCACTGGGGAGGGGTCCCTGATGAATGACAAGGGTCACCTGGGCACTGAAATTAATGGGGAGGGGTCCCTGGTGAATGAGGAGGGGTCACCTGGGCACTGGGATCAATGGGGAGGGGTCCCTGGTGAATAACAGGGGTCACCTGGGCACTGGAATTAATGGAGAGGGGTCCCCTGAGCACTGGGAGCACTGGGAAGGGGTCCCTGGTGAATGACAAGGGTCACCTGGGCACTGGAATTAATGGGGAGGGGTCCCTGGTGAATGAGGAGGGGTCACCTGGGCACTGGGAGCACTGGGGAGGGGTCCCTGATGAATGACAAGGGTCACCTGGGCACTGAAATTAATGGGGAGGGGGCTACTGAGCACTGGGATTAATGGGGAGGGGTCCCTGGTGAATGACAGGGGTCACCTGGGCACTGGGACTGATGGGGAGGGGTCACCTGGGCACTGAAATTAATGAGGAGGGGTCCCCTGGTGAATGAGGAGGGGTCCCCTGGTGAATGAGGAGGGGTCACCTGGGCACTGGGGACAGCCAGGAGAGATCACCTGGGCACTGGGACTGATGGGGAGGGGTCACCTGGGCACTGGGACTGATGGGGAGGGGTCACCTGGGCACTGGGATTAATGGGGAGGGGGCTACTGAGGAACCTGTGGATACTGGGAGCAGTGGGGAGGGG